AGTTATGATTCACAAGATTATAAACACTTCTTTTTCATAGTATTGATTCTACACGGATTAGATACCACACGGGCGTTGCCACCCCATGTCTCTTCACATAAACATGCTGGAACTGCTTGCTGTGGGGAAAGCGATCAGACACTTTGCCCCATTGCTGCGGGGTCATCACGTGACGTTACACACGGACAGCAGAATCGCTGCAGCTTACATAAATCACCATGGGGGCGTTCACTCGGCTCAGCTGCTGGACGCAGCCAGGGAGCTGCTCTGCTGGACACACACACAGCCTCGCTCCATCAGAGCTGTTCACATCCCAGGCGTGCTAAACAGAGGAGCAGATATTATGTCCAGGGGCAGCCCCTCGAGACAAGAATTGGAGCATCAATCCAGACCTGATCCTTCAGATATGGAGCAGGTTTGGGAAAGCTCTTCACTCCAGAACGCACAGGCGATCCGTGGCTTCCGGTTCTCCAACAGCTGACTAGTGAACCTTGAAAATGGCCGTGGCAGATTCTCTCTTACAGGTGGGGGGAGCCATCAGGAGCCCAGATCAGCATCTCTGGGCCTGGCCGCTGAATGGGAATGTTTGAGAGATTGTGCTTCTCTCAGGGCATGGTTCACACGATCCAAGGTGCACGCGCAGCTTCTACTATGGCTTGTTATGCAACCAAGTGGGCAGCTTTTCAGAAATGGTGTTTAGAAAAGGATGTAAATCTGATTTCTTGTTCCTTAAGTTACATATTATCTTTTCTGCAGCTGCTGATGGACAGAAACCTAGCCTTTAGCACGATTCAGACGTACACTGAAGCCATTTCTTCCTGTCATGAGGGTTTTAACAACAGAACGGTTTTTAATCATCCTCTGACGAAAGTATTTTGAGGGGTGTGTGCAGACACCGACTGGTTTTCACACGTTACTTCCACATTGGGACTTAGCGCTCGTACTCCACGCGCTGTCTACTCCACGCGCTGTCTACAGAACCATTCGAACCCCTGTATCAGGTACCGCTGAAATTTCTCTCTCTCAAGACAGCCTTACTGTTAGCTTTGACGTCAGCAAAGTGAGTAAGTGGCTTCTCAGCCCTGTTGGTTGCCCCCTCCAGTCTTAGAATCCAAGGCGATGAGAGTTCAGCGTTGTTTCAACCAAATCCTGCTTTTACACGTAAAAGCATAAATAGTTCTTTAAGATTCAGAATTATAACGCTGGACGGGTTTCCCTTCCTCCACATAATTTTGAAGAGGAGATCCAATCTCACTTCCTTTGTTCTGTTCGGGCGCTTGCGATTTATGTAAGACGTACGCCCGCTCTGCTTAAATCTGAACGACTGTTCATTCATTTCAGAAACCAATCACAAGGACAACCTTTATCTCCTCAGCGGTTGTCTCACTGGCTACTCAAAGCTATTTCTTTAGCCTATTCGGTGGCCAATCTTCCTCCTCCTGATGGACTCGGGGTTCATTCCACCAGAATGTTTTCAACCTCCACGGCAATGCATGGTGGTGTGTCTGTACAGATCATCTGTTCCGCAGCTTCCTGGTCGTCACTGACCTCTTTCATCCGTTTTTACCTGCGTGATGTCTCTAATTTGTCTCTGACACACTCTGTTCTCAGAGTCCTGTCTGAGTGACGTCACAGCCGTATTCACTCATTTCTCTTTCACACGCTGCTCGCTCTTTTTGAGCTTATGCTTTTTTCCTCTCTGACATTCAAGGATTCAAGGTTCTTTATTTGTCATTCACACCACATGTGGTACATGTGTTGGAACGAAATTGTGTACAACAGGGTCCCAGTTACATCCAACAAAAGCATTAAAATGTGTGTAAAAGAAAAACAGTAATAAGATCTAAGATATGAACTAAGAAAAACATAAACTAAAAATACACAAAGCACTAATAACATAAAAACAATACGCCAAACAGCAGCATGAACATGGGTCTGTGTGAGCAGATGAATACGCATGAACTCAACAACATGAAACAGATCAACAGCAACATGATGTGATTTTTCACAGTGATTATTCTGGTTAGAGATTCATGAGTCTAAGGGTGCATTCACACCAGCCCTGTTTAGTCCGCTTTAATCGAACTCTAGCTCATTTTCCTAGAAAGTCCGGTTCGTTTGGGGAGGTGTGAACGTGCCATCGAACTCTGTCACGGAACAAAAAGGCGAACTCTGGCCCGGGCTAAAACCTAGGTCTCGGTCTTCCCTGAAAGGGATGACGTCTAGATGGGAGCATATGTTGTTCTAGAACCTGATCATAGTTCTCTGCATTAATGGTGCCTTTCCAGACATGCAAGCTGCCCATGCCACAAGCGCTCATGCAACCCCATACCATCAGTGATCAGGCTACTGAACGGAGCGTTGATAAGAACTTGGGTTATCATTTTCCTCTCTGGTGCGGATGACATGGCGTCCCAGTGTTCCATAAAGAACTTCAAATCGTGATTCCTCTGACCACAGAACAGTCTTCCATTTTGCCACACTCCATTTTAAATGACCCCTGGCCCAGTGCAAACGTCTGAGCTTGTGGAGCTTGCTTAGAAATGGCTTCCTCTTTGCACCGTAGAGTTTCAGCTGGCAACGGCGGATGGCACGGTGGATTGTGTTCACTGACAATGCTTTCTGGAAGTATTCCTGAGCCCATTCTGTTATTTCCTTGACAGTGGCATTCCTGTTTGAGGTGCAGTGATGTTTAAGGGCCCGGAGATCACGAGCATCCAGTAGAGTTTTACGGCCTTGACCCTTACGCACAGCGATTGTTCCAGATTCTCTGAATCTTTTGATGATGTTATGCACGGTTGATGATGATAACTTAAAAGTCTTTGCTATTTTACGCTGGGTAACACCATTCTGGTATTGTTGCACTATTTTTCTGCTCAACAATGGTGGAATTGGTGATCCTCTTACCATCTTGGCTTCTGAGAGGCACTGACACTCTGAGAAGCTCTTTTTATACCCAATCATGTTGTCAATTGACCAAATTAGTGTTAATTGGTCTTCCAGCTGTTCATTATATGCTCAATTTCCTTTTTCCAGCCACTTATTGCTACTTGTCCCAACTTTTTTGGGATTTGTTGACACTGTGAAATTTTGAATCAACGTATTTTTCCTTTAAAGTGTTACATTTACTCAGATTAAACTTTTGATCTGTCATTTATGTTATATTACAAATAAAATATTGACATTTGCCATCTCCACATCATTGCATTCAGTTTTTATTCACAATTTGTTTAGTGTCCCAACTTTTTTGGAATCCGGTTTGTACTACAATAAAAAAAGCTGCACACTGTCAGAGCTGGCTGGGCACAGTTCTTGACGATGAATGGTGGATGCCCACGGCTAAATAACCAGAGCATCTTATTCATGTAAAAATTATGATTTATCTTATATTTAATATGTGCGGCTTAGAGACAGGTACGTGCTGTAGTCTGAGTATTTATGTGTATATATATATATATATATATATATATATATATATATATATATATATATATATATATATATATATATATATATATATACATACATATATACAGTATATACATACACATTCACACACATACTTACTTTTTGCATTAGAGCTGAAATAATTTTTTTCGATTAATCGTTATCTACTTTAATAATCAAACTGTTGTTAACTGGAATATGCATCTAAAACACACCATTTGCAGAAAGTACAACCCACTAAGAACAGTAATTAATCCAAAACTGTAGATAAAAAATTTTTTTTGCATTTAAGATGAAAAACATCCTTTGTAAAAATGCTCTAACCAGAACCCTTCAAGTGGCATATTTTTAGCTTAACCTGTTTAAAATTTTGGAAATATTCTCCTATTAAGTATCTTTTGGTATCCAAATATTTAGAGAGGAAAGTACTCAACAGAGTAATCAACTTTAAAAGATACTTTGTATTTGCTGTATGTTTGCTGTCTTTTTATTTTGTAACAAATTTTTATACATTTTCATTTCTTTCTTTTTTTTTCCTCCCTTGTCCTGACCGGCATTGTGGCACTCAGAATTATTGTCTGAGTGTCAAGGTGAGGCCCAACAGATTTACTTTCACAACCAGAGCATTATGGCTGGCCTTAATGCTCCAAATGATATATAAATAAAATTTTATTAGGATTTGCTTGGTTTATATCCAAATCGGATTCCAAAAAAGTTGGGACACTAAACAAATTGTGAATAAAAACTGAATGCAATGATGTGGAGATGGCAAATGTCAATATTTTATTCGTAATATAACATAGATGACAGATCAAAAGTTTAATCTGAGTAAATGTAACATTTTAAAGGAAAAATATGTTCATTCAAAATTTCACAGTGTCAACAAATCCCAAAAAAGTTGGGACAAGTAGCAATAAGTGGCTGGAAAAAGGAAATTGAGCATATAACGAACAGCTGGAAGACCAATTAACACTAATTTGGTCAATTGACAACATGATTGGGTATAAAAAGAGCTTCTCAGAGTGTCAGTGTCTCTCAGAAGCCAAGATGGTAAGAGGATCACCAATTCCACCATTGTTGCACAGAAAGATAGTGCAGCATTACCAGAATCGTGTTACCCAGCGTAAAATAGCAAAGACTTTTTAGTTATCATCATCAACTGTGCATAACATCATCAAAAGATTCAGAGAATCTGGAACAATCGCTGTGCGTAAGGGTCAAGGCTGTAAAACTAATGGATGCTCGTGATCTCCGGGCCCTTAAATGTCACTGCACCTCAAACAGGAATGCCACTGTCAAGGAAATAACAGAATGGGCTCAGGAATACTTCCAGAAAGCATTGTCAGTGAACACAATCCACCGTGCCATCCGCTGTTGCCAGCTGAAACTCTACAGTGCAAAGAGGAAGCCATTTCTAAGCAAGCTCCACAAGCTCAGACATTTGCACTGGGCCAGGGGTCATTTAAAATGGAGTGTGGCAAAATGGAAGACTGTTCTGTGGTCAGATGAGTCACAATTTGAAGTTCTTTTTTATTTTATTTTATTTTATTTTATTTTTTTCCAGCTTAAATGTTTATTCAGATAATCAGAAACTTTACAAGTCATGTTAAAACCACTGCCACAAGCAACTTTAGGAGACCTGAAGGGTCAGTTGAAATGCTAAATTAATTTAACAGAAAAAGAAAAAAGCACAATATGCATTTTCCATTCAGGTTCTCTTCCAGATCTTTTGCTCTTGCCCCCCAGGGAGTGCTTGTCAAACAGGTACTCTGCCATCTTGTTGGTTTTAGCATCCATGCTGGTCAGGTTGGTGATGTAATCACCCAGCTTCTTGATGGCCTCCACCTGCTCGTTCAGGTAGTGAGTCTCCAGGAAGTCACACAGATGAGGGTCCACATGGTCAGAGGCCAGTTTGTGCAGATCCAGCAGGGCCTGGTTAACCTTCTTCTCCAGCTGCAGGGCGCACTGCATGGCCTCCAGGCCACTTCCCCACTCATCACGCTCAGGTTTCTTGACATCCTGGAGGAAGATGCGTCCTCCCCTCTTGTTCTGGAATTTCAGCAGCTTCTCAGCGTGCTCCCTCTCCTCATCACTGTTCTCCTTGAAGAAATGAGAAAAACCTGGAAGGGCCACATCATCTCTGGAGAAGTAGAAGGCCATGGAGGTGTAGGTGTAAGAGGCGAACAGCTCCATGTTGACCATCCTGTTAATGGCGGCCTCGCAGTCGCGGTGGTAGTTCTGACGCACTTGAGAATCCATCTCAGCTGGCGTTTCTTGTGCTCGTTTTTAACAAAAAAGGTAAAAAAATATATACAATTTGAAGTTCTTTATGGAACACTGGGACACCATGTCATCCGGACCAGAGAGGACAAGGATAGCCCAAGTTGTTATCAACGCTCCGTTCAGAAACCTGCATCACTGATGGTATTAGGGTTGCATGAACACTTGTGGCATGGGCAGCTTGCATGTTTGAAAAGGCACCATTAATGCAGAGAACTATGTTCAGGTTCTAGAACAACATATGCTCCCATCTAGACGTCATCTCTTTCAGGGAAGACCCTGCATTTTTCAACACGATAATGCCAGACCACATTCTGCAGCAATCACAACATCATGGCTACGTAGGAGAAGGATCCGGGTACTGAAATAGCCAGGCTGCAGTCCAGATCTTTCACCTATAGGGAACATTTTGGCACATCATAAAGAGGAAGGTGCGACAAAGAAGGCCCAAGACAATTGAACAATTAGAGGCCTGTATTAGACATGAATGGGAGAGCATTCCTATTTCTAAACTTGAGAAACTGGTCTCCTCTGTCCCCAGACGTCTGTTGAGTGTTGTAAGAAGAAGGGGGGATGCCACACAGTGGTAAAAATGGACTTGTCCCAACTTTTTTGGGATTTGTTGACGCCATGAAATTTGGAAACAACAGATTTTTCCCTTAAAATGATACATTATCTCAGTTTAAACTTTTGATCTGTGATTTGTGTTCTATTCTGAATAAAATATTAGATGTTGGCACCTCCACATCATTGCATTCAGTTTTTATTCACAATTTGTTTAGTGTCCCAACTTTTTTGGAATCCGGTTTGTATTTTCATTTATTAGGTAAAGAAAAGAAGACGAGAGGCATGACCTTAGCAATTTTCCCCACAAGCAGGCAGTTCAGCTGAAACCTGCAATGTGAGCCCATATCAGTTGTAAGTACATTGTAAGTAGCAGTTTAGTTTCTTTAATTTCATGCATATATATATGTATATATATATATATACATATATATATATATATATATATATATATACATATATATATATCAGAGACTCTACTTCCTTAGGCGGCTGAGGCAAGCTGGTCTGGGAAGCTCAGTCCTCACCTCCTTCTACAGGTGTGCAGTGGAGAGCATCCTGTGCTCCAGCATCAACGTGTAACATGGAGGCTGCACAGCTGCAGAAAGAAAAGCTTTGTAGCGAGTGGTGAAGGCTACACAGAAGTCTGTCGGAGTCAGCCTCCCCACCATCACATACATTTACACCTCCAGATGCAGGAAGGGGCCAACTGCATCATGAATGACCCCACTCACCCAGCACACGGATTTTTTTGCCTCGCTCCCCTCAGCAAGGAGATTAGGGAGCATTGAGTGCAGAACCACTAGACTGAGGAACAGCTTTTATCCTGAGGCTGTTAGACTCATGAATCACTAACCAGCATAATCACTGTGAATAAATTACATAATGTTGCTGCTGATCTGTTTCATGTTGCTGCTGATCTGTTTCATGTCACTGCTGATCTGTTTCATGTTGCTTTGTTCATTCGTGCTCATCTGCTCACACAGACTCATGTTCTTGCTGCTGTTCGACGTAATGTTTTTATGCTACTTGTGCTTAGCATATTTTTAGTTCATGTTTTTCTTAGTTCATATCGTAGATCTTATTACTGTTTTTCTTTTACATTTTATTGTTGGATGTAACTGGGACCATGCGTACATAATCTCGTTCCACCACTTGTACCACATGCAATGTGAATGACAAATAAATCCCTGTGATTTATATAATATACTAATAATATATATATATATATATATATATATATATATATATATTATTTTTTCTGGGGAATAACATGAATACTGTCGAGAGGGAGGCAATTGACAGCCTCCTTCCCAATTCTGGTGTTGCACCTACTGTAACGGACTGTAAATTATTTAAAAATGAATTTGCAACTGTGCAGATTGTTTATATATGTTTGTCTGTTTGACTGTGTTGGTTGTAAATGTATTGTTTTGATTTCATTGCATTTGTAGTTTTCACTGAGGTTTTTTTGTACCTCACGGGATGCCATATCATATATGGGCCAGCCTTATAAAAGCTGACAGCAATCATTGCACTAATTAATGGATGAAAAACAACTGTCAATAGGACTCAAATGTTTGGTGTAAAGGAAACAAAGACAAATGACCGTCCTGAGGCGAGGGTGTGGCAGTCGGACGTTATTTTGTTTGGCAACAACACATCTCTTTGTGGAAGTATTTTTGGATTTTGTTAGTGGCTGGTTTGGCATAAACCGGTATGTGAATGACTCAGAATGGATACGCAGGACAATATGGATTATGATGGATGGACAACATTAAAAGGGAGAAGGTAGAGGAGGTGTTGGAGGTAAGATGAATGAAGGAAGTGGGTTTGACAATCAGAAAAATAAACGAGAATTAGACGGCAGTAGCTCTGAAGAAGAGAAAGTTGTCAGACGTAAGGTAGAGATGGGGGAATGTTGGAAAACCAGCATCCATGTGGTGGTGAAACTGGAGAAGCCAGTTTTAATAAAGTTGAAATCAGACTATATTCACACCAATGCTGTTTAACAAATAGTATTTATGAGTTTATTAACAATTTGTATGTCTCATTATTATATGCTTTTTCCTCTTACTTTTAATAATCACTTATTACTGATAAGATGTGTGCAACAAAGGAAGGCCTGAATCCAATCTCAGGCAGAGAAAGAGCCAGGTTTGAGGCTGAATAATGAATGCATAAAGTGAATTAATCATGTTTTAAGTGATTGTGTAATTCTTTGAAAAGCTTTACAGCAGTTATTTTGAATAAGTCTGTAATAATCCTGTATGACCCTAAACAAGGTGTTGAATGGGGAAACAGTGATGCAATTCTAGCAAGACAGTTTTGGAGGGAAAAAATCTGATGCAATTCTGGCAAGACAATTTTGGAGGGAAAAGGTGAAAGCCCACCCAGTTGGGTGGAGGCTGGAGTTTGCATGATCTCACATGTCCCAATAAGAGAAATGATTGGTTGGGAAATATAGTGTGGCATTAGAACCTCCTAGAAGGAGGGGGAAAAGGGTTTCATAAAAACCCTCTGATCAGACAGAAAAGTGCGCAAGCTAAGCCAGGACAAGAGGAGCAGAAAGGATTACAGCAAGCAGCCTAGAAGTTGGGGTCGCCCGAAGGAATTGGATTATGCCGGTCTAAGGCGAGTTTTGGATTTACCTCTGGTCTCACTGATATGAGATTGGACCTAATTCTTCACTTGTTAAGACGAGACTGGGATTATTCCATCCTCCTACAAGCTTGGCCCGGGTATGTCCAAAGCCCCCATCCTTCCAATTTGGGATAGCTGCTCTGCTTATGGGAGGCCTGTATCCCTCGCCTGGGGAACAGGAGATTTGCCTTTTATCTGTGCAGAAAATTCTATAAGGATTATCCTAAAAACCAGGGTAAGAGGACTTCCCGGTCCGACTGCTCCAAACTAAATAATCTGTCAGATCAGGACAAGCACATAGGATAAATTGGAGAGAACCAACTGGGTTTAGTGGGTTAATGCTCAGAGATGTATCCAAATGGTGAGGTATTTTGAGAGAAAACATCTGTTGGCTTGAGCTGTGGACAGACAGAGTGGAGGTGGTTTATACAAGTTTCCAAGGGCTCTTGGAGACAAATTGATTTATTGTCCACCTAATTATAAAGTGTTTTTCTCTGTTATCATGTATAAGTGCCTGTAGTGAAATTATGCTTGTCGCTGTATTCCCCTGCAAAATTACTAATTAAAGCAAAGCAAAACGTATACATCTTGACTATTATTTCATCCTCATTGAGCAAAATACTTGGTGAAGCTTAGTTCTACTTTAACAGCTAGTATTAGGAGGTTTTTAACGGTTTCCTGGCAAGAAAGTGTAAAACAACACCCCTAAGTCCTGTCCCTGGACTCTAAAAGATTACCAGAACGGATAACAATTGCAACGCTAAATTAAGAGGTGAGCGACCGTGAACGCGTGTTTCTCCGTGCCGATTGGCCCGACCGTGCTGCTTGGACAGGTCGAAGTACGGAGTGAGATCTGGGTGTGACTCGCGGAAAAGAAGGTCGTTAATATTCTGGATGAGTCACCTCGTCACAGCCTTAATGAGGCTATCTTAGGTACCACGGCGCTAAGGTTAGTTTCTAGACCCCTTGGAGGAGAGGCTGCGAGTGAGGACTTGTCACTGTGCCAGTGGCTATCTCGCTTCGGGTAAGCGATACAGGGAATATAAAATAATATTAAAGTTTAGGAATGAGGAAGAACAGAGCACAATAAGTCCAATCATTCTGTCAAAAGAAATAACAAAGAAGATTGGAGAGGTAGAAATGGTGAAAGTGTTGAGAGACGGAAATTTAATGTTGATTTGCAAAACTGAAGAACAGAAAAGAAAGAAACTACATGTTGAAAGCATTTGCAAAAAAACTGGTGGAAAGAAAAGTTATAGGTGAAAACAAAATAATTTGAGGTGTGATTAATGGCATTCCATTATATGAGGATCTGGATAAATTAAAACGAAACATAGTTGGTGCTCAGGTGAAAGACAAAGAGATTAACAAAAAAACTAAATGGAGAATGAGTTGGAAGTATGTCAGTACTGATCGAATTTTCTGAGAATATTCTGCCGCAAAGAATCAAAGTAGGTTTCCTGAGTTTCCCAGTGAGGCCTTTTATCCCACCACCACTCCGTTGTTTCTAGTGTTAGAGATATGGACTTATAGCTGCTGTATGTAAAGGAAAGCAAAGGTGTTCAAAGTGTGGAGGAGATCATAGAATTGAAGAGTGTAAGGATGATGTACAGGAAAAATGCTGTAACTGTTGTGGGCAACACAGGGTAACATATGGGGATTGTGAGGTCAGGAAGAAGGCAAAGGAAATCCAGCAGATAAAAATGACTAAAAACATAAGTTATGCTGAGGCAGTCAGGAGTGTTCAAGGACAAAGGACAAAAGATACAGGTGAAGGGGAAAGACAAAATCAACAGCAAAATGATAGAGATTCAGAGG